CATGTGTTCAGTGTTACAGGCTGACCAAGGACTATGGTCAGAAATAGGGACTAAAAGCACATAAGTTATAAAATTGTGGAGAAATTCACTTCTGTCTCTGGTATAATAGGAATCAAAGTTTCTTACATGGTTTGGAAACCTTAATATAATTAGCTATTTACACTGAGCCAATAGGAAAATGGTTATGTTGTATATATGTTGCTGTCATTCGTGTTCTTCTCTGAGAGACAAAAAAGAAGCTGGACAGATTTCATCTCTCTCCATTGCAAATGGATGAATTTACCAATGACTTTGCTTTGTTGTTAAGGAAATACGAGTCATAGCAGTATTTCTGCAGCAATTTTGGCATTACAGTTCAAAAACACTGGAACAAACCAGCTAACATCTCCAACAACTGAGGACTTTGTGTTCTCAATGTCAATTAAGAACCTTCAGATGCGGCATAAATGTTGCTGGAGGCCCTTTGGCTGAACTGACGCACCCAGACTCTCTCCGTGGTGCTGAAATCTGGACCTCACACTGAACTGAATCTGAAATATTTCTCTCTCTGCTTGCTTTTCTAAACCATTTGCACCCTACACGCTCTGTGCAGACAGCACACAATAATCCAGCAGACAGTGCACTACCTGTGATTGTGATGCAAATGTTAATGGACTTTGAGGTCCTCTGATTAGCCTGATGCGGGCTAATTTCCCTCCTCTCCAGTCCCCAGAGAGCACAGAGTGCCTTTTCACTGTCCTTTCTTAATTGAGGAGTGTTGGGTGGTATTTTCTGCCTCGCTAGGCCGGCAGAAAGACGCAGCAGCCAGACAATCAGGGGTTAAATGGCAGGTAATGTGGCGCAGAATGAGTGCTTCAGCTTCCAGATTTTTTTTAACCATTTCTTCACCAAAAATCCCGTTTCAATGTGTGCGTTTCGTTGGCACTTAATTCTCTGCCTCAGATGCTCTCTTATCTTGGCTCGATCTGGGTCGTGCGTCAAACGATTCCAGTAACACACTTCAATCTCTCTCTCTCTCTCTCTCTCTCTCTCTCTCTCTCTCTCTCTCTCTCTCTCTCTCTCACACACACACACACACACACACACACACACACACACACAGAGAGAGAGAGAGAGAGGTAACGATAGCAAAGGAAGAAACGCTTCATTTCAGAGGAAAATGCCATGGAAACACAACACCCAGTTGTTCTTTAACACCGAAGTCTACATTCTATTTGTTTTCCTTTTCATGGTGTAGTGTAATTTATGGTAATCACTAAAAGCAGGTCGCAGTGGCGGTTTGTCCAGCTCTTTATTTTATTATATTTTGTTAATCTCTGTTATCTGACTGCTCTTTCCAGAAGGAAAAAAAAATGTCCCCTGCATTCGAAAGAGAAATTATTTTGTGAATCGAGGAAAAGATTGGTGGTGGTGGTGGTGGGGGTGTTGGTGTTATTGGCGGAGGGAGCGATGCGGAGGGTGGTGGAGGTGGTGGAGGGGGGTTACATGAAGGCGGAGAACCTTGTGCCAGCTCACCCATGTGTGTAATGCGAAAAAGGAGAGCCGGGGGGTGAAATACTGAGAAGAGAGGGGGGAGGAGGGGAAATGTGCGTGGAGAGGAGGGAGGTGTCGGGGGGAGTGTGGGCACAGGGGGGGGAAATGAATTTGAGGACAAACTGATGTCACAATGCCATTTTGGATTTTTCTATCACCAAAAAAGAAGAAGAAAAAAAAGGCTCACCACACCGGTGGGTCAAACAGAAACCCAGTGCGCACTGTTAGAGAGCTTTGATTGGTCATATCTGTATGGACAGAGATGAGAATCCTCCTGGGACCTGGCGCCCTGACCCCCTGATGACTCTCAGGATGGGTGATAAACTGGGAAAATCCCTTTCCGAAGCATAACAATGCTGCTCACACACACATCAGAGAAGATGCCCCACGCACCACAACAACGCACAAAATGCAAGTAGTTTTAATATATTGTCACCTCTGTGTGTATAAAAAAAAAACTCTGAAAACTCCAAATTTGCAACTATAAGGCACCCCCATCCACTTAATATGGCCCCAAAATGCATCTTAGAGTGATGGAGGCCTTTCACGAAGACATTAAGAGATGTTATCCTCAGGCACACATTTGTATGTGTATGCGGGATTCACCATTATGATCATAATGAGACTAAATTTCATTGCACATTAATGAACTACAACTTTCATTATGTACTTATTATTACTGTTATTATTATTATTATCTGTACAGCAGGTCGTGAAAAGGTCTGCAGCCGCTTTAACCTGCTGGCTGCTGGTGTCAGAGCTGCTCTTTTCATCTTGCAGCACACTCCATCAGACAGCGCAGAGCGCAGATCAGAGGAGGGCTGCAGCCTGCTGATAACGGCCTCCGTCATTAACTCTTTCATTCAAGGCGCTGAAAGAAAGCAGCCATTGTCGTTCCCACAACTGCAAGTTTTCAACAAAAAAAAAAAAGGGGGGGGGGGATAAAAGGGCATACAGAAAAGACGCAAAAAGCAAAGGCGCGACAGAACGAGCGATTTATTTGCATCCTCATTTTACGATTGAAACCGCATTTGTGTAAATCGGGCATGCTGATGCGCAGGCCTGATTCAGCTCGGCCTGCACGCCCATCTGAGCCTGTCGCTGAGATCATCGTGATGTAGTTTGGATTTGGAGTGGATTTAGTTTTAGATCCTTCAATTCTGTGAGAAAATAAACGAAAAATGCCACAGATAGTCTTTTCTTGCTGTCTTTCTGTCTATTCGCCAGCAAACGCACGTATTAATACGGACCAAAGGAGGCTTATTAAATGTTAAATGAAGAGTTAAATATTTTTAAATAATATTATTAATAGCGCCAAACAAGCACCGACAGGTTTATGTGGGATTTTTAGGGTCGCTTAAAGTTATTCTAGTGTAAATCTTCCATAAATGAATGGACCTCTCATATTACTATGAATGATAACTGACCAGAAAAAAAGAAAGCAGGAAAGAAAGCGAATAAAGAAAAGAAAAAAACCACAGCAGACGTTTTGTTCGTGTTGCTGTTTGCTGTATGATGATCGCCTCTCTTGTCAGGTCGCTGCATCACTGGTCTGATCAGGTTACATTCTATTGAAGAAACCAGACGCGGAGCTTTTAATAGGCCATATCAAAATAGTTATTTTTTTTCTCGAGTTCAAAGCAAACAGCCTGGATAAATACAGCAACATCCAGCATACTGTATGTTAGTTGAGGCTATTTTAGTGTACTATAGGCCTCTGCTTTGTATCACGGTGATGAACATACTGCAGCCTGAGGAAACACTCAACATGGTGGACGCAGACTACTAGTGACAAGGCAATGTCAACAAACTGTTCACAGCGATTTGGGCCTTTGTTAGTAATTCAGTGAAGCTACAACAGAAGTGATTGCCATTCAACCTTTTTTTGATTCTGACAAGACAAATCAAACGTTGCAGTGACATCATGTTGCTTAAATTTATTAGATTATTATTCAGCAAGTCTTGACTTTGAAAAGTTTTTTGTTTGTTTTTAAAATTACATATAGAGCAAGAAATCCTATTTAATTTACAATTAATGTGTGGTTTGTTTGACTGGTTACAGAATAATATATACATTTTCACAAAGCGGAAATAAATGTTCTGGACTCCCAGAATAAAAAAAATATTCTTTTTCTAGCTCTAATTCAGAATGAGGAAACGCTGCCCTGTCCTCTGCCAACTTTCCTTCTGAGTGTGTCCTCTATTTTCCACCAAATAATACATCTCCTAACATAGCAGTACAGGTTTTTTTTGTTTTGTTTTTTTTCTCAACGGGAACACCGCCCTGGCTCAGACTGTCACATAATCTCCACAGATACAATCATAGTCATGAATGAGTGAATGAATGCGCATTCCTGAATGAAGCCTCACAATAGAGCCGGTGGAATAAAAGTAGATCAAAGTTTCGGTTCAGTTTCTGCATAACATCAGGTTACAGTTTCCTAAAGCACATTTTTTTTCTATATCTTACCACAATTTAGCAAAGACAAAATGCACAAAAACATATATTTTTTTCCTGATCACCAACAAACCCAATGTGGCTATTAAACACGATCCACGTAATCCCAGAGGCGATTTGGTTACTATTGTGATGCTCCACGTCCTCTTCTTCTTTCTTAAAGGAAACAAATGATACAAAATCAGATTTTAAGAAAAAAAATGATACCAAGTCCTAGACTGTTTCTTAAATATTCTGGTCCAAAAATTTGGGTTTTCGTCAAAATTCTGCCTTCTTTTATATGCGTAAAGTTATGCAAGATTTGAGGCCCCCGGAATGTTATTGGATGTTAGAATGAGGTATTATAGATTATGGGTTGGGGAAGAGATGGTGGGGGTACTGCAAGCACCTCCCCTAGAAATGCAGCAAATCTCTCCCGTTTCTCCTGGTGGGGCACTGGGAGGGCTGGAGACGTGCTTTGCATTGGCAGGCTGATGAGGACACGTGTCTCCTCCCTGCCTCCCCGGTACCGCATTGGCATCAGTAAATGCACCTGAAAACCGACAAGCAACTCCTGGAAACGCTGCCTGTCACCTTATAACCCAAAAAGAAAGCGATAGCGTATGCCCCGCAAGAAACCTGTGGCTCGCCTTTTGTCGTGCGTAAAGCTTTTGCGCACACCGCTGAACCGCCTCAGAGACTGAATAGGTGCGCTACTCGTCGAGCATCAGAGCGCAGCGCCAAGATGCAGAAACGGAGCAGCGACGTCTGAAGGTGACATGAACCTGGGGATAATCGAGAGCAGCAGGCGTACAGTGAACAAGAAGTGGAGATAGCAACTGAAAACCGTTGGTGTCTTGAAACAAACAAACAAAAAAAAAAAAACTTGCGCTTTTCCCTCGTGGCTTTGTCTAATGCAGAGAATCAAGAGCTGCAATCCAAAGTAGCCTCATTTTTTTACTGACTTGACAAGAGGAGAAAACCCCTAATTAAGCTGCAGACAGTTTAAGAGTTGACAGAGGAACGAAAAATGGCGACGTTAATCAGAAGCAAGCTTTCTAATAAACTGACAAATGCAGCCACGGCTGTGTCCAACAAATCCCAGGCAAAGGTGAGCGGGATGTTCGCCAGGATGGGGTTCCAGGCCGCCACCGACGAAGAGGCGCTGGGCTTCGCCGCCTGCGATGATCTGGACTACGACCACCGGCAAGGCATGCAGATGGACATTTTGACATCCGATGAGATGGGAGGAGAAGGGAGCGGAGACGGAGGCGCGCTGGAGGGGGACAGCCACTACCAGAGGGACGGCACCGGACCGCCGCACTCCGCCTCAAAGGACGGGGGTTCGACGAACGAGTTGACTGAAGTCAGACCAAGAATCACCGCTTGGGAGGCGGGCTGGAACGTTACGAACGCAATCCAGGTAAAGAGCACTTCACGGATTAGAAACCAGGCGGCTCCGGTGCTCGGTTCCAATTGACTGAGCCGCCTGCGAAGCAACTGTGAAATTCGAGATAAATGCACACCTGCGACCTCGTAAAAGGTTAATTAAGATACTCATACATAAACCAAAAGTCACCCAGGCTTTGTCTATTTAGTGCAACTTTGTCAAGTTGTCGTTTTAAAAACATCCCTGGAAAATATTCCCCTTGTTACTTTTGACCGAAGATTTCTTGAAACGATTTCTTTTTTAATTATAGTAATATTCTCATATCTCATCAGATCAGTGGAGAGATTTTAGAAGCGCTTAGGCGTTACAATGTGCTGAAAAAGGGAGGTAGTTAATGCTCTGTGCCCCCTCCTCCTCTAAACACACACATTCTTTGTCTGTAGTGATGTCCAATGTCAACGATGAACGTGCCTGATAACTGCTAACATAATATTGGGCATGGCAATGAATAAATGCATAAGGGAAAGATTCTGCAGCCTTTAGGTTTATAGAAAGATAAAGCCTTTATGTTATAAAACACATTATTTTGGAGGTAGCATTAAAAGGCTAAATTCACCTAAAATATATTACAACTACAACATGTGGGGAAATGGGCTAAGCTGTTTGGAGACAGATTTTTACGCACATTATCATAAAGTCACATATATTCCAATAAGGTGTAGAAAAAGCATCAGAAATGTAAGAAATATATTTTACGCACAGACAATCGTGTGTGCGCATCACTGTTTTCCTTTTTTTTTTTTTTTTTTAACTGTAGTGATTTTGGGCTGTGAGCATCACTTAAAGTGTGAAGATTTTTTACTCGAGAGGGGAGTCTGTGTGGAGGCCATGTGTGTGGAGGCTATGCGACAAAAAAAAAAAACCTAGACGCAATCCTCTTTATGCCTTATCAGGGCTGTGGTCACGGCAGCCACCCTGACGTCACAGTGTGTCTCCTCAGCTCGTGATGGCGACAGAGGCGGGCGGATGCGCTCAAAGCAAAGTGGAAAACCCACAACATGAAAAACCAGAGTGACCCCAAAGCCCACATTAATAAATAAGACCCGGTTACGCAAACAAAAACAGCCACAAGATATGTTATTATTATTATCATTATTATCATTATTATTATTATTATTATTATTATTATTATTATTATTATTATTGTTATTATTATCATCATCATTATAATTATTATTATTGTGCTAAATCTGGGACCTGGATCAAACGTTGCAGGAGATGTGCAATTAATAATAACAATAACATTAATATTAATAATAATTATTATTATAATTGTTATTATAATTATAATTATAATAATAATGTTCACAGTGTGCTCTTTTTCTGTGTTTGTAGGGGATGTTTGTTCTCGGGTTGCCTTACGCCATCCTGCACGGAGGATACCTCGGACTGTTTCTCATTATTTTCGCCGCCGTGGTGTGCTGTTACACGGGGAAAATCCTCATTTCCTGCCTGTACGAGGAGGACGAAGACGGGCAGCTCGTCCGTGTGAGGGACTCCTATGTTGACATTGCCAACGCCTGCTGCGCGCCCAGGTTCCCGGCTTTAGGTGGTCATATCGTGAATGTAGCCCAAATCATAGAGCTAGTGATGACTTGCATCCTGTACGTGGTTGTCAGCGGTAATCTCATGTACAACAGTTTCCCCAACATGCCGATTTCCCAGAAGTCGTGGGCCATCATCGCTACCGCCGCTCTCCTCCCCTGCGCCTTCCTCAAGAACCTGAAAGCCGTCTCCAAGTTCAGCTTGCTGTGCACGATGGCCCACTTTGTCATCAACATCCTGGTGATCGCGTACTGCCTCTCTAGAGCGAGGGACTGGGCCTGGGACAAGGTCAAGTTTTACATCGATGTCAAGAAGTTCCCCATCTCCATTGGGATTATCGTGTTCAGCTACACCTCGCAGATCTTCTTGCCGTCTCTGGAGGGGAACATGCAGAACCGGGCCGAGTTTCACTGCATGATGAACTGGACTCACATCGCTGCCTGCATCCTCAAGGGCCTGTTCGCCTTGGTGGCCTACCTGACCTGGGCCGACGAAACCAAGGAGGTCATCACAGACAACCTGCCCCCGACCATCCGAGCTGTCGTCAACCTCTTCCTCGTGGCCAAAGCTTTGCTGTCGTATCCGCTGCCGTTTTTTGCTGCCGTCGAGGTATTAGAGAAAACGTTTTTCAACGACGGAGGACGCGCGTACTTTCCAGATTGCTACGGAGGCGATGGACGCCTAAAATCCTGGGGACTCACTCTCCGATGTATTCTTGTTGTGTTCACCTTGCTCATGGCGATCTATGTGCCACATTTCGCCCTCCTCATGGGTCTCACCGGCAGCCTGACAGGCGCAGGCCTTTGCTTTCTGCTTCCCAGTCTCTTCCATCTCAAGCTTTTATGGAGAAAGCTGCTATGGCACCAGGTTTTCTTCGATGTCGCCATCTTTGTAATAGGAGGTATATGCAGCATATCTGGTTTCATCCATTCAATGGAGGGGCTCATAGAGGCTTTCAAATATAACATAGAAGAGTAGATGCAAGCCATTGCCGGAACTAGATGTTAACTGCAAACCCCC